GATCAATCTGATAGTTTAACACTTAAAACAACTGATGTAGGAGAAGGGGAGGGACGGACTGAGTGAGGTGTCGTAAATAGCAGAAGATGTGCGTGAAAGTGAAAGGTGCAGGTTGGCTGAGAAAAGCCAGAAAAAGTAAATAAACAGAGGAGAGTCAATAAGCTAGTTGGAAAAAACAAAACACAAAAAAGAAAAACAAACAAACAAGAAAACAGCAGAGCAGGGCATGCAAGTAAATAGCTGCATATATGTATGTATATAAATAGAGGTGAAACAAGAATATTGAAAAATAATTATATAAGACATTAAAGGACCACTCTAGGCACACAGACCACTTCAGCTTAATGAAGTGGTCTGGGTGCCAGGTCCCTCTAGGATTAACCCTTTTTTTTTTAGGGTTAATCCAGCCTCTAAAGCCTCTAGTGGCTGTCTCATTGACAGCCGCTAGAGGCGTTTGCATGCTTCTCACTGTAAAAATCACAGTGAGAAGACGCCAGCGTCCATAGGAAAGCATTATGAATGCTATCAGCCGGAGAGGAGGAGGAGAGCTCCCCGCCCGGCACTGGAGAAAAGGTAAGATTTAATCCTTTCCTCGCCATCCAGCCTGGCGGAAGTGGGACCTTGAGGGTGGGGGCACCCTCAGGGCACTCTAATGCCAGGAAAACGAGTATGTTTTCCTGGCACTATAGTGGTCCTTTAAGATGTGTGTTTATATAAAGTCTTGGTAGTGTGTGAGAAAGCCAGAGTCTGCATTAAGTCCTTCATTTCTGGTGTTGAAACGTGTGATCATTTTCATCTCAAGAGTCTTTGAAATTCCGTTTAAGAACTTTAATCCTGAGGGTTTGGATGGAGTGACCAGTCTGGGTGAAGTGATGAACAACAGAGGTACAATATACGTTTTCTTTGTGGTTCTTGATTAAGTGTCTGTGTAGATTCATTCTGAGATGCAGCTTAAAGGACCACTATAGGCACCCAGACCACTTCAGCTTAATGAAGTGGTCTGGGTGCCAGGTCCATCTAGGGTTAACCCTGCCTGCTGTAAACATAGCAGTTTCAGAGAATTCATTAGGGTTAATCCAGCCTTTAGTAGCTGTCTCATTGAGGTGCTTGCGCGCTTCTCACTGTGATTTTCACAGTGAGAAGACACCCTATGGACTGACTGAATGGTTGCGCGGCTCTTGCCGCACATGCGCATTCAGCGGATGATGTCGGAAGAGGGAGGAAAGTCCCCAGCGCTGGAGAAAGGTAAGTTTGTTTTCCTGGCACTATAGTGGTCCTTTAATGCCAGTTTCTCCAATGTAGCAGCCTTTGTCACACACTGTACACAGTATCATGTACACCACATACGCAGATGTGCACAAATTTGATCCCTTAATGTTGTATGTTTTGTTACTGTGTCTGGCTGTGTTATTTCCATATATATGTTAACACAGTTTGCAGAGTGATTTGTTGCATCGTACAGTGCCATTCTGTGTGAAATCCTGTTCTGTGGTCAATTTCCTGCGGACCAATCTCTGTCTCAGGTTGGGCAATATATTGGCATCTTGTCTACTGGACTAATACGGCTAATCCAATCTACACTAATGATATGACAAATACACAAAAATAAGCCCTGCGCTCAAACTCCCACTACTCCTTGGCGGCAGCAATGACCATAGCACACATCAGCCCCAATACATACAAATACAAAATGCAAAAAAAAGTTACCTGCACACTAGCCAAAATCCCTATGCATATTTAAATAAATGGAGGTTATTTAGTAACTCCAATGGCCATTAGAGGGAATGCCCACCTGCCACGTCAAGGAAAACCTCTTAGGAGCGACCTTCACTAACAATTCACCTTGCTTCCTTGAGCTTCAGGCAAATAAATCTTTAATGAGACAAAGAGGGGTATTTTTCTAAACCCCTACATACTTATTAACCCTTAAATTCATTATTGACTAAAACAATCAGATTTCTTATTGGAGACCACATGTTTACATGCATATCAATTATATCCTTGAATACTCTGTTTTTCCCCAAAAAAAGTCAGACTCTTTTTTTTAATGAATTTTTTTATTTTAACAAAGGAAATTGTATTGCTGAGTTGTATTGCTGTTTTTCATTGGAATATTTTGATGCCCTAAGTATGACTGGCTCCATAGTTGATTAAAGGAAAAAAAAAGTTGCTGGTGTTACGCAATCGACCCTCTAAATCTTTTGTGAAGACACCCGTAAAAAACAAAATCATTTAAATATATATCAA